ACAGCTCACAGCAACCTCCAACTCCTGGGCTCAAGCGATTCTCTTGCCTCCCAAGTAGCTGGGACTACAGGCACCTGCCACAATGCCCGACTATTTTTTGGTTGTAGTTGTCATTGCTGTTTGGCAGGCCCGGGCTGGGCTTGAACTGGCCAGCTCTCACGTATGTAGCTGGCACGGAGCCAATCCTAGCACTTTGGGAGGCCAAGATGGGTGTGTTGCTTGAGCTCAGGAGTTTGAGACTAGTCTGAGCAAGAGCAAGGCCCCATCTCTAAATAAAAGAGCTGGGTATTGTGGTGGGTACCTGTAATTCCAGCTACTTAGGAGGCTAAGGCAAGATAATCATTGAGCCCAGGAGTTTGAGGTTGCTATCTATTGGCTATGATGCCATGGCACTCTACCAAGGGCAACATAGTGAGACTCTGTCTCAAAAAGAAGAAAAAAAAAATCAATAAAAAGCTAACCCTCCACGATGCAGATCCCAGCCCCAATATTCAGAGATTCTGATTCAGCTGCCTGGGATGGGGCCCAGGATTCTGCATTTTATAAAGATGTTCAGCCAGGCCGGGAACCACTACCGGAGGGTGGGAGAAACGGCATATTGCACATCATGGCTCAGAGATGGAAAGGGAATTAACATATCTCGAGCACCGTCTGTGTAGCCGAAACCATGCTAAGTATTCTCCGTGGTGATGTATCGGCTTTGCTCTATTGCAGAAACCCCAAAAGCTGAATGTAACTGCTCTAGTGCACAAAAGAGGGAACTAAGGCCCAGCAACTACCCAACATCATAGGCCAATAGGGACTGGCCTGTCCAACTAAGATCCAGTGCTTTCTGCCCAGCCTGAAGCTGCCCTGTCCTTCCTGATGGCCCATATATAACACTTTCTCCTTGATCATATTCCATTTGGCACGTTCCTGATGTCTGTTTCATGCTATTCTATAATTATCTTCCCCCAACGAGATTAGAAATTCCTTGAGAGCAGGGACCACGTCTTTGCAAATGCAACCGGCATTTCTACGACACCTAATGATGTGCAAGGCACAGACATGGGTTGGAGCCAGGAGCTGCCTTCGAGGAGCCCGGCTGCTCTGCTCTTGCTAAGATGTGCAAACCCAGTGTCCAGCCCCGGTGGCTCATAAGCCCAGGCCAGAACCAGCCCAAGTTCTCAGCCTAGCCCCGGCTCATGCAGGGGCACATGTGTGAGCTCAGCCCTGCCTAGACCCATGACTGGCTGGCAGATAAGTAACAATGGGAGAGGGAGGCTCAGCCCCATCTTTATGGAGGAAGCTGGATGCTCACACTCCATCTCAAAGCTTACCAGCCATGGCCACGTCACCTCAGGAGGGATTGGAGCCATGTGGGTTAGCATCAGCCACCTTCCTGGCTAAAAGGATTGAGTCTGAGCGAACAGAGAAGGCAGGCCAGGTGGGAGGAAGAGCCCATGCAAAGGACTGTAGGTGGGACTGTTCCGGATTTTGAGTGGAGGTGAGAGCAGCTAACTTGCAGGCCACAAAGCTGAAGAACTCTGTTGGCGCCCGTGATCAGCTGCCTGCCATCCAGCCCCCTTGATGGGCCCCTACTGGTGGGAGCCAGTACCAAGCTCTCTTACTCTTGGAGCCACCTGCCACCCACAGCTCCAACCACCAGAAGAGTCTCTAAGAACAGAGAGAACATACAGTTTGGAGTCAGACAGACCTGAGCTCGATTCATGGCTCTGTTGCTAGCTGTGTGACTCTAGGGAAGTGACTTCACCTCTCTCAGCCAGTGTCCTCATTTGCACACAAAAGAGTTAAAAAGATCAATTCCACGGACTCAGTATGAGAGGTAAATGAGTGGCTCATGCCTGCCTATAATCCTAGCACTCCAGGAGAGTGAGGTGGGTGGATTGCCTGAGCTCACGGGCTCGAGAGACCAACCTGAGCAAGAGCAAGACCCCATCTCTAAAAATAGCCGAGTGTTGTGGTGGGTGCCTGTAGTCCCAGCTGCATGGGAGGCTGAGGCAAGAGAATCACTTGAGCCCAAGAGTTTGAGGTTGCTGTGAGCTGTGACACCACAGAGCTCTACCGAGGATGACAAAGTAAAACTCTGTCTTTATAAATTCTTTTTTTTTTTTTTTTTTTTTGAGACAGATAGAGGTAAATGAAATGATGCACACAAAACCTTAGCCCAAGGCCTGTCAGATGGGTGGGTGCTCAGGAGCAGAGCTACAATGCTTGTCTGTAGGTATCAGCATGCCTATCCCCAGCGGTGCTGCCCAGGACCTGAACGTCTCTCCACCCTGAAGGTACAACTTACAGGGATGCTCCTTACCTCTCTGAGGACCAAACTCTGGGGCTTGACTCTGGAGAAGGGTGGGGACAGGTCCAGCAGCCTCTCTAGGCCCAAGCTGGTCCTTCTGCTTCCCAGGGGTCCTCAGCCCCAGGTTCTCATGGGGGTGAGTGGCAGCAGACAGCCCCCTTTCTCCGTGATGGAAGGGGCATGAATGGACAGCCCCAGCTCAGGGGATTAGGCCTGCATACTCACATCATCAACCTTTGGCTCTGTCACAGGGACCCACTTATAGATTCGTAGAGAAGTGTCACCAACAGTCACCCATTTCTTCTCCCTGTGGAGGACAAGAAAGAGCCCATTACCAGGGACTTATGGGGCAAGACCCTGCTCAACCCTGCAGGGGCACAGGACACACTCCCTTGGGGCAGCTGTGATTTGGCCACTACTCAGCGAAGGTGGTAAGAGAACAAGCCCAGATCACACAGATGAGAGCGTGGGTCCCCGCTCTGCCCTCAGTAGTTGGCCCTAGATAAGTCACACCACCCATCAAAGCCTCATTTTCCCACCTGTTATACCACAGAGGTCTGTTGCTGGAAGGAAATGCTTGACAAGGGTGAGGGCAGGGACAGGATGGGGGGTGCTGCTGTTAAGAGGATTTCTGTAAATGATGAAGTCAGGCCCTGGGTCCTCCTGTGCCACTATCAATGCCATGAAACCAGGAGACAGGGCCACCTGTGCCCCTCTGGATGGCAGAGAGGGCATTTCTCCCTGTGCGGAGTGGGGGTCTCTACCAAGGGTACTTGGGGCTCCTCCTGACCTCCTGGTGATGCTTCTGAGGGCAGGGAAGGGGAGGCAGGCAGAGGGAAAGTGAGGGGTCACCCTGGCTCTGTTGATAAACACCCTTCAGAACAGCCAAGGGGAGCTAGAGAGCAGCAGCCTCGGCCTAAAAGGAGGTCACCTAGACTGGACCTGTGGACAGCAGGGGTCCAGGAGGGTGCCAGCACCACTTGGATCAGGGATGCTGGTGGTCCCGACTGCCCAGCTGCCCTGGCCAAGTTCTAAACTCCTGAGGGACAGAGGCCTACCCCCCAGCTACAAAAGGCAGGTTTACAGACCAGATGGACAAGTGGAGACTGCCTTTCTTTTTTTTTTTGAGACAGAGCCTCAAGCTGTCACCCTGGGTAGAGTGCCATGGCATCACAGCTCACAGCAACCTCCAACTCCTGGGCTCAAGCGAGTCTCCTGCCTCTGCCTCCCAAGTAGCTGGGACCACAGGCACCCACCACAACGCCTGGCTATATTTTGGTTGCAGCCATCATTGTTGTTTGGTGGGCCGGGGCTGGATTCGAACCCGTCACCTTAGGTGTATGTGGCTGGCACCTTAGCCACTTGAGCCACAGGCATGAAGCTGAGACTGCCTTTTACTAGAGGTAATAGCACTATGCACCACTGTCACTGCCACCTGCTCCCAGCCACCATTGCTTTTCAGTTTATCACTACAACCACCCACCTTCTGCCCTTCTGACCCCTGCAAGACCAAGTTCCTTCTGGCGCCACACACCCAGTGGCCACAGTGGAGGGGACTAGGGCTCTGCCAACCATGTAGATGTGCGAGGTCAACAAATGGCTGACCAACTGCTGCTCAGAGGGAGCCACAACGGGCTGTTGGGATCAGATGCACATCTGGCCCAGGTGGCATCATCAATGGAGTCTTCAACAATTTTTAGTGACAAGAGTATCCCAGAACTCCATACAGCAGAAGCACCTCCATCCATGAGCTGCCCGGCACCCTTTTTGCCCTTTCTACCCAAATCCAGCCTTGGTTACACGGCCTTCATGTACTATGGTGACATGTTATAGGTCTCTCCATTCCCATTACCATGGAGGTTTCTGGGAGCCCGAGCACACTCAAAACTAGACAGCCCAAACCACAGGCACCTCCATCCCCAAAACTGCCTGCTCAGGTCCCCTGTCCCCCATATTCCTGCCAGAGGATTCTAGGGATGGCTTTTCTTTCTTCTTTTGAGACAGAGTCTACTCTGTTGCCCAGGCTAGCGTTCCATAGAGTTAGCCTAGCTCACAGCAACCTAGAACTCCTGGGCTTGAGCGATCCTTTTGCCTTAGCTCCTGAGTAGCTAATTTGTCTATTTTAAGTAGAGATGATCTCACTGTTACTCAGGCTGGTCTTGAACTCCTGAGCATACGGGATCCTCCTCCCTTGGCCTCCCAAAGTGCTAGGATTACAGGCAGGAGCTACCAGGTTTTTTTATTGTGCTGCCAGGTACTGTGCATACATGTTCTAAATGTTACATAAGCCAGTGGCAGGAGGTATAAACGTTCCCATTTGACAGATAAAGAAACTGAGGCACAGGCCTGCAAGCTCTGACGTGGTCTTAGGAGCCTGGCTGCCACCAGGGCCCTGCCCCTTTTAGGCCAGAAAGAAGGAAAAGCAAGTATCTTAAGTCACCATCAGCAGGACTCTAGCCTCCCACCTCCTGTGAACAGAATGGATAAGCCACAAAGCCAGTCTTTCACTTCCACTATTCTGAATAATCAGAAGGTGCCTGGAGGGGATGGGACATTCCCAGGAATAAATAGAACAAGCATCATAATAGCCATTGTGTGCATTCCCTGCAAGCCCAGAGAGGTTATTCCAATAGCTAATGGTCACACAGATCTCGTAGGTGGTAGTACAAAGATTAGACACAGGCTCTGACCTCCAAGCCCACCTTCTGCTATTCTGTTGCCCAGGAAAACTAAGAACTAATTCCAGGGAGTACATGAGTAACAGAAGCTGGAGGAAGAATGACAAATTGCTAGAATCCCATGCCAAGTGGCCAAAGCTACTTGCTACTCACGAGACCTTGCCTAGCTTCCTTGGCCTGGGCCCCAGTAAATCAACACATTCAAGGTTTGATTATTGTGTTTTTTTAAAAAAGGAGCAATTGCCTTGCAACACACAGGACACCTTTCAAGACAGAAAAGTGTGTCAGAGAGCTGGGCTTTGCCTGCTGGCCGCAAATGAACCAAGTTGAAGGCCTGAAGTTGCAGCTACTCCCCAGGGAGGTTTCAGGCCACTGCAGGCCTCAAGCTGAATCCAGCCAGATCCTCATGTTTCCCTTTCCCCCAGCTGGAGACCCTTTGCTGAGTACCCATGGCACCCCAGGGGTTAGAAACTGTTCTTTAGCTGCATTTCTAGATGTGGACATTGAGGGGACAGAGGTGAGAATGTTAAGAACCCAACATCTGAGCTGCACCTCAGACCTTAGCTCAGCCAGCAGCCACCCAGGATGAGCTAATTTCCAATGTTTTCCTGAGTCCAGGTTCAAACAGACAATCTTGGGGTCACTCAGAACCCAAGAGGACTTTACTGACTCCCTCAAAGAAAGTCACTTTGTATCCACTCTTTGGGGCTAGTACCCAGGGAGCCCTAGATCCCAATGGAATTTCACAGACATACCAGGTGGGTGGCATGGGATTAGGGGAGCAGCTGATTCCCCATAACTGCCTCCCCCTAAACCCCAGAACACACAGCACACCCATGACAGTTTTAAGCTGCATCTATTACCTTATATCTCGGGTGGTAAACAAGCGGCCAACAGGTGTGTTTTGTTTGGACTGCACTATTCTGTTCTTTTAAAAAATTGAATCTGGGGAGGTGCCTATGGCTCAGTGAGTAGGGCACCGACCCCATATGCTAAAGGTGGCGGGTTCGAACCTGGCTCTGGATGAGAAAAATAGCTGGGTGTTGTGGCGGGCACCTGTAGTCCCAGCTATTTGGGAGGCTGAGGCAAGAGAATCGCCTAAGCCCAGGAATTGGAGGTTGCTGTGAGCTGTGATGCCATAGCACTCTACTGAGGGGGACAAACTAAGACTCTGTCTCAAAAAAAAAAAAAAAAAGAAAGAAAGAAAAATTGAATCTGCTGCTAAACTTTCTTTTCTTTCTTTTATCCTTCTTCTTCTTCTTCTTTTTGTTGTTGTTATTGCTGTTTGAGATAGGGTCTCACTCTGTGACCCAGGCTGGAGTACAATAGCTCAGTGTAACATCAAACTCCTGGGTTCAAACAATCCTTCACCTCAGCCTCCAGAGTAGCTGAGACTACAGACATGTATTACCATGCTCTGCTGATTTAAAAAATTATTTTGTAGGCTTGGTGCCTGTAGCACAGTGGTTACAGGACCAGCCACATACACCGAGGGTGGCAGGTTTGAACCTGGCCCAAGTCAGCTAAACAACAGTGACAACTGCAACAACAACAACAAAAATAGCTGGGCATTGTCGGGTGCCTGTAGTCCCAGCTACTTGGGAGGCTGAGGCAAGAGAATCACTTAGGCTCAAGAGTTTGGGGTTGCTGTGAACTATGATGCCACAGCACTCTACCAAGGGCAACATAGTGAGACTTTGTCTCAAAAAAAAATTATTTTGTAGAGATGAGGTCTTACTATATTGCCCAGGCTGGTCTAAAATTCTTAGTCTCAAGTGATCCTCCCACCTCATCTTCCCAAAGTGCTAGGATTATAGGTACATGGCCACTGTGCCAGGCTCTATTGTCAAACTTAAAACAAACAACAACAACAACAAAATCAGACGCCACATAAAAAATCCAGATTTGTATGGCTACTCTTAAAAACATAATCTGGGGCAACATGTCCAAGGAGCAAAGGCTTGCTCCAGATGGGCTCCTTGGCTCCCTTAGATCCCCCAACATTCACCTCCTGTAAGTACCAGGGCTAGACCTCACTGTGACCAACAGGCTGCACCCCAAACTTGCTATGACTCTGCCCTTGAGCCCTCCTGCCTGGATGGCCCCTCACAGTCCATTTGGCTTCAATTCTTTTCTTTTCCCATCAGACTCTGGTTCCCAGGGATAAAGGATAAAATGAGGCCCCTGCTGTAAGAATATAGCTCCAAATGCTTCTCTCCAGCACAGACTTCTATAAAAATGATAAACACCTATCCCAGATTCTCCAGGCCAAGGCCAATTTCCAATGTTTTCCCGGGTCCAGGTTCAAACAGACAATCTTGGGGTCACTCAGAACCCAAGATGACTTTACTGACTCCCTCAAAGAAAGTCACTTTGTATCCACTCTTTGGGGCTAGTACCTAACACCTTAGGTGGCATGGCCTATGGCTGGTCTCATCTTAACTAGAGCCAGGTCCACCCAACCTGCCCTGCACCTGGCCGGAAGGTACCTGTGATGAAGCCCCCAGAGGAGTGAAGATGACACCTCAGGCTCAAACCTTTACCTCTCCAGGGCTGGGTGGGAGGTCCCCTTGCCTCTAAGTCCTCATAGGAAGTCACCTGGGGAACCCTCAGGCCAAGTACCAAGGGGTCCCAGGTCTAAGCCTATCTCCCAGCTCAAGTCTCTGTCTCTCATCCAGTGACTCCCCTTTCCCCTTCTTTTCCCTACCCACACCAGGCCTCCTAAGCCTGGCCCTCTTTCCCAAAAAGGGGCCCACCATTTTGTTTTCCCTTCAGCCATCTTCTGGCTGCCACACACTTCTCCAGCCTGCCTTGCTGGGACGCCACACAGAAAGCAGAGGGGAAACAGCCTGGCTGCTGCAGACGGGGAGGCCACAACTAGCTGCTGGCTTTTTCCAGGGGTGGGAGTGCAAGGGGGGAATTTTTAGAGGGTCATAGGAAAACACCACCCTAGACTTACGGGTCCAACAGTTATGCCAGACACGCCAGCTCTCCTTTGGATAAAATGTACGATGCCCAATTATATTTAAATTTTAGATAAATGAATTTTTTTTTAGCATGAGTATGTCTCAAATGTTACACGGAACATACACTAAAAAGCATTTATTTTAAAATAATTTCATTGTTTATTTGAAATTAAAATATAACTGAGCGTGCTATATTTTCATTTGCTAAATCTAGCTGCCCCATGTCCCAGCTAATGGTAAAATGCATGGTTAGTGGCCACACAGTTAATAAACAACCCAAAGCCTCAAGGGCTGCCTGGCAGACCCATCCTGTGGGCACAGCCAGGGTAAAATTCAGCTTCCTGGTGGCTGGAGAAACCCCAGCAATAAAGCCATGGCTTTTTGCTTAGAAGGAGGGGGGGAGGGTATCACAGAGTCAAGTTTCTACAAAGTCCGCCTTACAACATTTACCAGGGGTTCCTGTATGAAGGAGGAGGTACTTTTGGAGACCTAACCTCACTCATCCTTAACAACCTTTGGGGAGGAGGAAGCGGTACAGAGCCCTTGTTGCCATGGTGAGAGAAGTTACATGGTTTGCCCAAGGTCACAGCAAGGAAGTGACCATGAGATCCCAAAGCCTAAGGTCTTTTAGAGGACATGATGAGCCCAATGCAGGGAGGGGCAGAGATACACGTCCCCACCCTAACTACAGGCTGGCCTTATGGGCCCATAGGACAGGAGGGCCTCCAGGCTGGCTGCTCTGGGGCCTGCAGGGCAGAAAGCCCCATCTCTCCATCTGCCCTCCCTCCAGAGCAGCTGGCCACCCTGCAGGAGCAGCTGTCAGGGTGCAAGAGCCCCTGCCTGACTGAGAACCTAGGGCAGGAGGCCCCACCAGGCCTCCCAGAGCAGAGAAAGGCAGCTTGCTGGGGCCCCTTTCTAACCTCCAGGCGGGTGACAGAAGGGACCCGGGCACAGACACCAGTTCTTTCTTTGCACAGAGGCTGACTCCGGGAGGGGGCCAACTCCTGACATCCCACTGGCAATCCCACAGAAGGGGGGTTGTGGGTTGTTTTTCAGTGTGTGTGTTTTGGCCTGCAGCTGTTTCTGCCATTTTTAAATGGCTCCAGTCAGCCACTGGGCACCCTGCACACCAGGGGAGCTCCTGAGGCACCAGCGACTTGGATCTCAACTTTGGAAAGCCTCCCCTTCTCACGGTTCTGAAAATTCTTTGTCCCACTGGAGCCAAACCCAGCCCACGGCCGGGCATCCAGCCATCAGACAGCCCTTTCCATAGGAGGCCCCAGAGCACGTGGACTTTATTGATTTTCCTCTTGCCTTTTTGTTGGGTTTGACTCTGAAAGGACAGCTAACTTGCGACACAGCCAGACCAGAGGCTTGCCCCCAATGGCTTTTAGAGACCTAGGCGTTACTCAAAAACTGACACCCCCCAAGCATAGACATACCATGCCACGGGGCCTGCCCAGTTTCCAGGCTTTAAATAAAGGATCAGGACGAGCCCGCGGGCACTGACACTAGGAGACAACATCGCAGCTGCTCCTCTCCCTCCTGGACCCCGGTGAAGCCGTGGGAAAAAAATGATAAAGTTGAAATCAGGGAGCTGGGAGTTTTCAACAAAGTCTGACCCAACCTGGCGATCTGCTGGCGCCTTGGGCCTGGCCCTGGGCCGTTTCCGAGGCAGACCCCTACGAGGCCCTGAAAATGTTCGATCGTGTTAATTACAACAAGGCCACGCCGGACAAGAGCTAATTTCTGCTTGAAAAACACGCGCGGCCGACACTGAAACGCCTTTCCCCTGTGCAGAGAACAAAAACAAGGGCTCTCTCCACAAAACAAACACGAGCTCTCGAGTGGGAAAGGCAGACGCGGCCCAGGACCGATTTCTGTCCAAAATCGTCGGCTCGCCGGAGTCTCCGCGCCCCGAGGCGCCCGAGAGCACCGAGTAGGACGTGGGTGGCCCGCGCCCCTTCCTCCTGGCGCTCGCCCCCATCTTTCTTCCTCGCCAAGAGCCCTCGCTCCAGGCAGCCCAAAGCGCTAAATTTAAACGGCTCGCGCTCTGCAAACTCCGCAGACTCGAGGGCGCCGGGCCCGGGAGGCGGGGAGCGAGCGAGCGGCGAGCCGGGAGG